GGGAACCGGGTGGAGGGGAGCTATGGGGGGAAAAAAGAGGAACAACTGTAATAATCTGAACAATAAAGATTTAATTTTAAAAAAAAAAGAATTCTAGGACAGAAATTTTCAACCTTTTTCATCTTATAGCACACATAAACCAATTACTAAAATTCTGTGGCACACCAAAAAATATATTTGACAAAAGAAATAGGTATAATTTTGATTCATTCATACCAGACAGCTGTGAATAACTTGGCGATCTAAGGGAAAAGAGGTCAGTACCCCTGACTAGTCAGGTATTGCATGTTTTAAAAATTCTTGCAGCACTCCAGTTGAAAATTGCTGCTCTAAGAAGATACATAAAAACAACCCATAAAGTAACTTGTCATCAAGATGCAGCCTTTACTATTTTCTCATCCTGAACATACTAGTAGTATCTGTGTTTGACTCAATTATTTAATACACTTCACCAAGTTTGTTATCTAGAATTCTTGTCCTTGATTTTAGAGAGTAAGGACAGAAAGCCTCTAGGTTATTCCTGATTCAACTTAACTAATACAGCCATAATAAAATAAACTTTCTCTCTCTTCCTGCCTCTCTCTCTTTTTAAGAGCAGTGACTATTTTTGTATTATTTAAACAAAAGATAAATGTAAAGCACTAAGAAAAAGAAGTTAAGAAATTAGGGAAAAAAAGGAGAAAGCAATAAATCACATAAAGATAACCATTGCTTTTTAACTTTGGAGAACATTATTCCAGACAACTTTGTATATATCCAAATGGAAGGATGGATAGTGGGATGACTGCTGAATGAACAGATGGGAAAGTATCAGGGGGGCGGGGGCGGGGGGAGAGACCTTCTGATAAGAATGGATCATATAATTTTTTAATATACATTTTTTATTGTTTACACTAGTGCAGATGTCCCTCATTTTCACCCCCCTTGCCCACATCCATCCAGTCCCCCCCCCCCCGCCATCCCCCCTGTCTTCACCACACTATTGTCTTTTTAAATTAAAGTATTAATTTTAAATTTTATTTGAATTTAACAGAACAAAAACTTAAAGCTGAAATAAATACATTAAAATATGTGTTTCTTTACTATTAAAGGTAGTAGTTGCTAAAAGATCATTCAAAGAAAAGTAATAAAAGACATTCTGAAGTTAGCATCATTATTTCTGCATTAGTTAATGCCTTGAGACGTGGAAGGGTTAAGACTTAACCTTTTCTCTTGCATCT